GTTGGTGAATTTGGGGGGGGGGTTCTATTCCCTCAAACCAGTGACGCTCCACTTCCTAGGTAGAGTGACTTGGGTAGAGTGTAGAAAAATGGTGACAGGCAGCAGATTTAGGGGCAGAAACTAGCTGTCTGTGTGTTTATAACCTGCCGTATACCAAGATGTCTATGTACTACAACTTCAGCCTGATGCAAATTTAGCTGTTGGAAAATAGCATCTGCTTGATACTTAAATATTCACTGATGTAAAATTTAATTTATCACAATCCAATGAAAATTTGTGAATAATCCTTTGCCAAATTCAGTGAAACACAAACATATTGTCAGCAGTCAACAGTCAGTTAACACTTATATATATATATATTAAACTGAATGGTCTCTGAGAGTTTAGCCTGATATTATTCATGCTGCATGTTGTAAAGGTCAGAGGTAATACAAGCTCACTTCAGTTTTCTTTTGTGTGGGAAGCACATACAGTCTCTTGGCTAGGATCACTGGGGGTGTTCTAATGAGCCTGGACAGCCTGGCACTTGAACACAAAGACAGTTGTATCATACACAAATTTCATATTGCATAACAAACTAGATGGAAGAGGGAGAAAACAAGAGCATCCCATTACTGGCCACAGAGGATCATGGTTTAATCAGAATATGCTGCTGTTCTTTGTTGTTGATCTAGACAATATGTGGACCCGGCTACAGAGTAACATCCTCCATGTTACACAAGGATGTCTGAATCATGTTATGAATTACAGTATAACCAGTGTGGGTAGGAGTCACAGAAAGGCCAGTGTCCATCTCCTCAACTGTTTTCCTCTGATCACTTTTTGTTGTATGTATGTTAAAGGTCTCTTTGATCATTTTAAATAGTGATCTAATCTTGAAATACTCCTAATTCATAGTTTTTCAGAAGAATCATATTTATTTCTGGAAAACATACACTGAATGAAGTTTCACTTATGGAGACTAACTTAAACTTCAACCCCATTTTGTCTGTGGCCTCCTATTTCATATTCCCATATCCCCCTCTTGTGGTGTATTATTGAAATCACATCTTAAGATATAATGCTGGTGCTAATAGAAACAGATTTTTTTTTTTTTTTTTTTTTTTTTTTAATTATTTTTAAAGGAGTATTCATTGTTTATTGCTGCTGCCAGGCTAATGGCTAATAATACTGGGTCTGTCTATAAATAATGAATTAATACTTTATTAAGGCATATGACAGTTATACATAAGTAAATAGAATGGAAACAAAGGACTATAACATAAAATAAAGAACATAAAAACAAGAACAACATCGAAGCAGACAATGTGAACATGAAACTTACAGGCCAGGGGGTGACTTAAAGGGTTAAGTTAAGTAAAAACATTCAGGGAAGTACATATATTACAAATTTTGGTAGCTTTTTTGTTTTCACTCTTCAGGATGGAGGAGAAATAATTTTTAATTTCGCATAACAGGGCAGGAAAGAAGGGTTTAGATTTGGAGAAGAAACAGATTAGGAGCTGCTTTGAAAGCTTAGCATGCCTGTTAGGAAATGTCTTCTCAGTTAGATAGTAAAGTTTAGCTTCTCATATTAGTCCTGATTAGTATGCATGCATAATGTATAACCCAAGATATAAAAATTGTTAATATATTAAAGAAAAATCGGCGACTGACTGTGGGTGCCTAATTGAAAGACAGGTTGCGCTAAATACACAATTTTTGCTCTGCAGCATTTACAGGTTTAGACACATTATTGTCATATTATTATAAGAACATATCTCTTCAGTAAAATACCAAAGTCTCCCAAGTAAATACAACTACATTAGACTCGTCATATCATATCACAGAATGACATAAAATGCACGGAGGAAGGATTTGCTGTACAGTATTTGGACAGATTCTGCTGTTTCAGCACCGCGGACAGCCGCGGTTACCTTGTCAACAGACAACATTAGGTCACGTGATGTTACAGTGGCGCTTATGTTTCATCCTTCAAAGTTACCAGTCACTATAGACCTGAGGACTACGGTAAGTGTAGGGTGTAAATAATAAAGTCCGGAGCTTTCCTTCGAGCTTTACGCAGCGCAAACTGTCCGGATTGTTTTGCGCTTGAGGTGGAGTTTTCTGCCGCATCACTAGTTGTTGTCGCTACAACGCGCCGCGCTGAGGCTGCTGTGCTCCTGAAAAGAGCAAGCTGTCAGGAGCAGGAAGCAGCTGAATAACAGCGGAAGCGAGAGCGTTTTTCATTTTGGGACGGTTTCATTCCTACTTTGAGAACAGAGGTGTCGAGGAACATGCCTTCAACGCGCAGGTGGAAGATCTGCTAATTTAAGTTCTTCGCTGCTGCAACTTTGCAGTCCTGCCTTGTGCAAAGTCGGGTGAGATTTTGTTTGTTTGTTTGTTTGCTTCAGCTGAGATTCACAGAGGAAGCTTTTAAATCTTGAGAAATGTCTCGCAAGAAGGCTGCAAAAGGCAAAGCAGCAACCAGCGGCCTGTCTACAGGCAGCCCCTCCGGGAAAGGGGCCGGAAAAGCCGCGAAGAACAGCCCGGGCATTGTTCAGATGAACGGTGTGGTCCATCCCAGTCGACCCTCCATCAGCAATAGCAGCGAGTTTTATGACATCGCTTTCAAGGTAAGCTGTCTGTTGTTGGTGTTTGGTTAATGCCCCATAACGAACTCCAACTCCTTAAAGTAGGCTATATTTGATCATTTTACATGGAAGGTTATGTGCAACCGCGCCATAGAGGTCACTTTAATCAGTTATGCAAATCATATGGACCATTATTGGTGCGTTTCCCTGCAGAAAATCAGAAAAAGCACAGCCTAGTTTGTGGTTCACTTTATTTGCAAGCGTTGTTTTCCTGATTAACTTCCGCTGCTTTAGGTTTTACAATTAGATTAGTTCATTAAACAGCAGCAAACTAACATCAGCTGTGTCAATAGATCGATGGCTGGAAAGGCGCACGCCGCCCAGCAGCCAGCAAACAAATCACTGGTTCGCGCAGTGCAACTGGTTGAATGTCTGTTTGTCTCAGCTGCACAGGGGACCGAGTTTAGGCGAGCAATAGTTGGCGTGTTTTACCTAAGTACAACGTGAACACTTGTGTCAGCAGAGAAGTGTCACTTCGCCAGAACACAAACACAGACTCACACCCACAGATTCAAAGTGTGTGCTCCCAACAAAGCTTCAGGGAACGTGTGCCACCTACACTGTGTTTTTGAAGCAGCTGCTTGATGTGAGTGCAGTGATGGCTTTGTGTTGCTCTTTTTTTGCAGAACTGTTTATTTGTTAAATGCGTCCAATCAATCAATAAACTGACGATGGCAGTTGTTCACTTTCTACTAGTGATCTAGTGTTCTACACTGACCTATATTTTGTCAATGTACCTACTGTTTTTTTTTCTTTTAAATACACAATTTAACAAATGTCATACAGTTTGGGGCAGGATTCCAATAATATTCCCTTTACTGGTGCTGTTTATTTTAATTATTATGATACTAGATCACAGTCCAAACCAAATTTCCCCACTGGGACAAGTCAGATATATCCTATCGCATCAAAATCCCACCTTTCAGGGCGTTCAGCTTTTCAGAATTTGACCTGTACTGTATCTCTTTCTGTAATGCAGAAATGAGCTATATTTCATACTGTGTTTCCTCTGTACTATCATTATTCTTCATTGAGGAACCTGGTTGCGATTCATTTAGAAAATCAAAGGGTAGGAGAAAAAGGAGTTTCTCCTACTGAAAACATTTAGCTCATGCAGAGTTGTTAAAGGAGGAAGGCAAAGGAGCAACAGAGGGTGACATTCAGACATATTACTCTTTGCTCCATTTTGTATTTGTTCTGTGACTCTTGATGTACACCGCTTCATTCTTCATCTTCAGTCTTTCATCTCCTCTCTGCACCCAAGAGGCACTTTTGATTTCCATGGTCTGGGGCCCAGAGTCCCTCAGCTAACCTGATAACGCTAATCACATCAAACCTTTAACTTCATCACAGCTCAGAATATAAAGAGAAATGCGCTTGTCACGCACACGCATGCATGTGCAAAACGCAGATCTATACACTCACAGACGGGCTCCAAATACATCCACAGGCGGCCATAATGAGCAATCGTACACTCATTCACATATACTGGCCTAGCACCAAAATACCAGGACTGATTTAGCTGAGTGATTCAAATGTTCTGAGGACAATCAGACATGGATTTAAAAGCAAACACAGGAGCAGCAGCTCCCTCTGGTTCATGCTCCTACAGGTGTACTAAAATCCTTTGCTAGCCATGTTAGTTTGAAATCTTTGGTGCTTCTTAGTTCAGTGTTCCTTGGTGATTTTCTTTTCCCTTATGGTTTCCTGAACAGGTGATGCTGGTTGGAGACTCTGGAGTAGGGAAAACATGTCTGCTGGTGCGTTTTAAAGATGGAGCTTTCCTGGCTGGCAGCTTCATCTCTACTGTGGGCATTGACTTTCGGGTGAGTTTAAATCAATAGAACCAAAAACAAACACACCCAAACAGACAAATCCCCCACTTACATGCACAAGCAAACACACTTTCAGCTTTAGTACCTTTTGTAAAATTGAGCTATAAGTACTAAAAGCACTTTTTTAAGCTATTCTGTGCCTTTATATGCCCTAGAGCTATGGGCATTTCGAAATCTCACCAGATAGGATATTGATTTCTTAAATTAGTTTGACATGCTTTAGTTTTTTTTTCCTTGCTCTGGATGATAACAGTATCTTTCATGTGCCAGTTTCATGGTCCCATCTGGGCAACCAGGAAAGAATGTGTCCATCTTGTCTAATAATCACCCTGAGGTGGGTCTGTCTGTCTGTCCACAAGACAGAGACAGGCAACCACTCAGAGCAACTCAAAGAGACGGTAACCTCACTCCGGCTGTACGCTGTGTCATGGGCTCATCAGTTTACATTAATTTCAGTCCCCTGCACTGACTGGCACATACACTGTTGCAGTAAATGGCTTTATCTGTCTTGTTTGTACATTATAGTATGGTCTAATACAGGAGCCCTGCAAAAACCCCAGCTTTTGAAAAGTTTATTATGCTCAGTTTTTGTCAAATGTCTGGGAGGTGTTAAGAGCACTTCATTCATTTCCTATAAATAAATAAAGTACTCTCATATTCTCCAATAACACTGTCAAACTGACGATAGTCGGTGGGAAACAAACAAACAGATATTGTCTTTTTTTAAAATATCTTCTTCCTTGTCAAAACCTGGTGTCTGCAGTACCCACAATCCAGTGTGGTCACTGACAGTTCAGTCATGTGTTATGCTAGTTGTGGCTAATGTAGCTAACCTCGAGCTGTTGGCAACAAGCAGTAGATGATTGTATGGAGTCGACCACATGTGATAATCTTTTGTCTAGTACAGCATGTGCATGGTTAAATGAATGCATTTTCTAGTGTTATTCATTGCATTGTAAATATTACATTATTGTGCACAGCTGTTTCCATTGGGGAGGGGAATGTGAGGTGTAAAATCAACAAAGCTGCCCCTTTAGTGAGCTCTGTGGTCATTTTTGATTTCCTTAGCTTGCAGTTTTGTTTTGTTTTTTTTTCCAGTAGTTGATTTTGATGGGTGTACGCAGTCTCTGGTAAACGTAGTGACGCTTCATGATGAGCAGTGCGCTGATCTAGTCAGTCATTAATGCAATTTTACTGCTTACCCTCACTCAGCACTTTTCATTAGTGCTTGGCTGTTACTGACTTCTTCCTCCACTGGTTTTTCTGAGCTTGGTGGAAACAATGCATACGAGTTTATCTTGATTTGTTTCTCCCTTTATCATAATAAATTAACTTATCCTAAAATTGTTTTACAGTCCCAAAGCTAACTCTATTACATAAAGTATAAATGCAGCAACAGATCCTTTATACTCCTGGGAGGCATACTCACATGGGCTGCCACTGCGCCTGTGTTTGCAGTATGCAATCATTGTATAGCCCTGTGAGTGGGGTGGATGAGGCTGTGGGTGGATGAGCACTTGATTTATTTACTTATGTAACACCTCTTAGAACAGTGTGCCTGTGGCCCCGATGTACATTTAGGCCCATCTAAGCAAAGCAGAGCCCTTCATCACTTTATCTGTGCACACTGCATTTAGTACCAGTGGAGAAGAAAAAGTATAAAGCTTGTAAAGTTTAGCACAGATTTGGCTCTTTTGTCATATTGATTTAGGATTTAATTACAGTATGGCACAGAGCTATGTTAGAGGAATAATGTCATGATCATCCTCAAGGCTCCCATTCTCTACCATAGTTTCTTTTTAAATGGTTCACTTTTTGGTGCATGTGATTCAGATCTCCTTGAACTCAAGAGTCACATTGTAAGTCATGAATGATGTGACATTTTAATGCAAGTTAGTTAATTATAACTTGCATTAAAGGCATATTTTCATAAGCCTTTAACATTTATTAATTACAATTTGCATGAAAGTCAAGTTTAAATGCACAGACTGACACAAACCATGAGCGCAATCGCACGTACTGTATGTGTTTGTTTTGGAAGTTGAGAGACTGAACTGTGTTGAGTAGGAAACATGAAGGCCCGTGGTGTTTGTCTACACATGGAGGATACGCAGAGATGGAGAATGATTTGTTATTTTTAGGAAGCACAGTTCTGATCCCTTTTTAGTTGGTGGGAAAGAGAGGCAGTTTGATACAAATGGGGATTTGATCCAGTTCCCACTTCAAAGCTGAAGCCATTTGCTGTTTTTTCATTGCCCTCTTGTTTATTGTATTCTCATCTCATTTAAGCCTCAGCATGTTCTCAGGATTACAGAGCTGCACTGGTGCCTTGATAGGCTTAAAATATGGGGAGTCAGAATAAAAAAATATAACGCTACACAGATTACATTCCATATAATGTGATTATAAAAGGTGATAAATTCATAGAATGGGCTTAAAAACAAGGGCATACCTTAACAACTCATTAATTCCATGTAAATCTTACTTTATTCAAATCTGCATTCCAAGTCAAATAATTCCTGCTAAACACTAACAGGTACAGAGCTGATTCTGTACGATCATTTATGGCTATGGCATATCGACCAAAACAGATTAACTGATTTCACCTTTATAATTTCTTAGTGTATCACACAATGAGACGCTGCTTCCAGTAAATTTAATGTGTAGCTTCATTATAATGTTGTGTACTTCTCTGGCTCATTTATTCACAAGAATTCACAGAAATTCTGTTGCATATTTAAAAAAAAGTTATATTAAGATTCATTTTAATAACAGTAAACCTTTTTAATTTTGTTAGATACCCTTTCTGTAAAAAACAAACAAACAAACAAACAAAACAAAACAATTAAGTTTTATAAGACTCAGATTTTTGCTCATTTTAGGTAAGGCTTTAGCAAATCAGAAAACAGTGCATTTTCAAAATATGATGCAACATGTCCAGGCTATGTGTTGCCATAGTAATGCAGGTGCTAACCAGTGGGCAGGTGACTGGCATTGACTAGAGGGCAGAGCCTGTCTTTTTTACTTGATTGTGCAGCCCACAGAGGTCTTGCAGGAGTCAGTGCTTGTGATCCATCCATCCATCCATCCATTTTCCTCCACTTATCCGGGACCGGGTTGCGGGGGCAGCGGTCTAAGCAAAGATACCCAGACTTCCCTCTCTCCAGACACTTCCTCCAGCTCCTCCGGGGGAATGCTGAGGCGTTCCCAGGCCAGCC